GGTGTGGCTTTGCCCCCGGTCTCCCTGCAGACCAGAGAGATGTGGAGCAGCTTTTCTCGCCCCGGAGGACGGGGGTGGCGGGACTGCAGCGCATCTGGGCGTCCCGCCACTCCAGTCCTCCAGGGCGAGAAAAGCCCCGTTCGTAACTGCGGATCCGACATAAGTCGGATCCGCGTAACTCGGGGACTGCCTGTACATATCTTCCGTTAGATAAGTTACAGTTAATATATCCAATTCCTACTTTTAAAAAGCAATATTTTTGTGGTCTTTATAAATTAGGGTTCTCTACATAGACTTGACAGAATTTTCTCTTTTTTTCAATAATTACAACAGATAATATTTTTATTTTTAAAACTTTTTATCAGCATTTTTATAATTGTGCAAAATCCTTGGTTTTAAGCATTTATTGAAGTTTTACTCTTATTTAAATTTTCACAGTTGTGGGATGCTATGGAGAAGTCAGAGAACAGGACAGGTCAGATTGAAAAGCTTCGCAACTGTTAAAAAACAAATTATCAGCTTCATATCAACATATACAAAATAATACTCAAAAAAGTTCTCAAGTAGCATTTTTCTTACTTTACCTATGTGTAAATTATTATTATAGCTGGAAATAATTTTCACCTACTTGTGTGTTTATGGTGAAACTGACATTTAATGATAAAAATTTAATCTTTCCAAGCCTACTTACACTGCAGTGAACTTACAGTTCATTTTACCTGCTTATAGTTAAGTAAAATCAAAGAGACAATTTTGAAGAATTTTGCTGAATCAGGGCCTGGAGAGTTATACGATTCATCATTAATATTTTTGTGCTAGTGATGGTACTCTGGTACAGAAATATGACTACTTTTTCTGTCTGAGCATTCACCTTAGTCAAGAAACAATAGTATTCCTTGGTTAGAAGGGTTGTTATGTAAGTCCTCTTTGCTTTTGCAGATCACGTATGGTTCATATGATTAGACTCTGAGGATAAGCAGTTATATATACTCCATATAGTCAGCAAATCGGGGGAAATGTGGGGGGGGAGGGGAAATGGTTCTGATTAAGTAGTCTCAGTAAAGACATCCTGATTTCTCCTTACCATGAAAACTGATTTGACTTCAAACCATCTTAAAATCCCTGGTAATTTATATGCTGTCACATAGATGGTTCTCTCAATCCACATATTCTGCATAAAACATAAAAAGGTTAGAAATAGCATGTGAGCAAACTGATAGTCTTTATCCTAACCAAAGATTTATAAATTCGTTGTTTAAAAAAAAAAAAAAAGAACTGCAGCAGTACAGAGATTACAAAGATACAAAAAATCTGTATGTTATTTCAGGGGCATCTCTGTGGTTAGATTAGTCTCAATATGTTAGCTGATGTGCTATTTAAAAGCCAAATGCCGATCTTTTTAACTAAAGGGTAACATTATGTAAAGGCTACACTAACTTCTGTTGAATGGTCATTTTCCAAATAATCTGTGTTTCCTATGAAAAGCACATTAAACAAAAAGGGATCACAGCCTTCAGAAACCAATTTATCTCAACAGAAATCTACAGGAATAGAAACCCCAACTCCATTTTATGAGGGGCAACTTTAAATATAGCTGAAAACAATTTTCCCAGGTGTATGTTTTAGGATTCTCACATTAACACCTAAAAAGTGCTCTTACAGACTATATCGGTCATAAAAAAGTAAGTTTAAGGGCAAGACGCAGCCTAATCTTAAAATTTCTTCATCTTCCCTTTTAAAAGAAATTATTCCTCTTTCATGTCTGCACATTTTAAAGTTACAATGAGAATATTTCTTTATGAATGTTGTTTTATCTGGCCTTGTCTCTCCATTTTAAATGGGGAATATATTGGTATGGCTGTCTTTTTTTAGACCTTAACTCACTTTGAAGCTTGAGTTCCACTGAAAGTCAAGAGGACACAAGAGACCAGGATAGTGGGATTTTCAAAAGCAACCAGATGCCCATAGTTAGGCACCCAAGTGTTTTTGAAAATTGCATTAAGTGCCTCCATGCCTTTCAAAATCTGACCCAGGACTCCTAAGTGGTTTAATTCATTTTTTAATCAGAAATCAAGATGTACGATATATTTTAACACTTTTTCTTGTCAAACATCTTTGTAAGTTTTTGAACCAGAATCATTCATTGACGCAGAAAACGTTTTCTCCCATTTCATCTGGGATTACTTTGATTAGAAGACATATTTACTTTGGGAAGCAGAACACGCAGTTATGACCCACGGCATTTCAAGTTAATCAGGATAACCTGGCATGGTAGAGGGAAATCCTCAGTGAGTATCCTTTGATTGGAATACAGCAGGGAGTTTTGCAAAAGTCCAGACTCTCAAAGCATGGCAGATCACAGTTGGTTAGCTTGTATGGAGGTGTATAACTGCAGCTCTCTATTCAGAGCAAATGGTGAAGCAGACAATGAAAATGGGCAGGCTATTCACAGTTTTCTGCTCTAGTAAACCAATTCCTGCCTATTCAAAGGCACAAGGAACCTAGTATTCTAAAGAAAATTGAGATCTACAATTGACAAATCATATATAAGTACAAAGTACACCTCTTCTTATGCCATGAATAAGTTGGATGTGGGGAAAGAGAGGAAAAGAATTTTATTTTTTAACCAGCTTGGTGGACACATGCTGTGATAAGAGCATGACTGACCATATGATGAACCATATGGCTTAATAAAATATTTATTGCTGCATCCAAGACTGGGTTTAAAGGATGCTTGACTGGGATCCTTAAGGCAGCTTTCAGTAAAAGATGGTTACATTCTAAGGCCTGACATTGTTGTATTTCTCCTGCAAAGTGATCAAGTGTTGAACAAACAAAAGACAGCTTTGCCCATTTTTCTTAGTGCTATAAAATAGTAGTTTTTATTGCATTCATAATAAATTTGGTCCTGTTTTGCTGGAGTTATAAAAATCAATCAATCACCAATTAAACAAAACATAACAGCTGTCTTCCACTCACAAAACAAAACAAAACAAAATTACCGCAAATTCATTATCTGGGTTTTTCTCTCCTTTTCGGACAGGCCGTGAATACTCAAATCGTTGGACCTCATTTACCCTATAGAAGCTAAATTAAAACAAACAAACAAACAAAACCAAAAACAGATTGCATAACTGCAAGCATTTTTTGTATTAATACATTTAGTGGTTAGAACATTAAATAAAATCTTGTGGAACCTCTCATTAAGAAGGAACAAGATTCAAAGTTTGCCGCATGGCTCAGAGTCTGCAAACATGTATGGATGCAATGTGGCTGTAGCCATGTTAGTCCCAGGATATTAAAGAGAGAAGATGGGTGAGGTACCAGGCCTGCACGCAGGAATTTCTGTGGGGGAATGTGAGCTGTGGGAAGGGCTAGTAGCTGCTCTCCCACCCCAACACCAATCCTCCTCCCCCACAAGAACTCAGCCCTGCCCTCAGCCTCACTCCTGGGTGAGGAAGGGGAGAATCAGCCCCAAGTCTTCCCTGGCTGGCTGCAGCATGGGGAAGGAAGGCTGGGGCATGTGCCTCCTTGCTTTTCCCCAGCCAGTCAAAGCATGGGGGAGGGAGACTGGAGTAATACACTGCCCCTGCCTTCCCTAGGTCAGCTGGAATTGGCTCCCTGGGGTAGTGTGTTCGCACCCTTCACACACACCATGCATATGGGCAAGGGTACTTTTATTGGACCAACTTGTGCTGGTGAGAGAGAGGAGAATTTTTCTGGTCTGGAAAAGAATCTCCCAGCACTACAGCAAAATGCAAGGTGGAACATTGTTTAGTATAAGTAGTTAGCACATATGTGTTAGCACGTAATGACCCATTAACACCTCTGCAATAACAGGACTAAAAGAGGAGGTTAGCAGCTTAGAGAATGTTGTAATGAGCCACAAATCCATAATGAAAGTATTTAGACAACAAAAGTCACTGACTCAAAAGAAGCACCGGATTTATTGTTTACTACAAAGATCTGGAACCCACTAACCTTCTCTTTTTTTCCCATAACTGCAGAGGGGCTAAATATAGGGTACATCTAGACTACAGGGTTTTGTCGACGGAAGTTTTGTCGACAGATACTGTCGACAAAACTTCTGTTGACATAGAGCGTCTAGACACATTCAGTTCTGTCGACAAAGCAAGCTGCTTTGTTGACAAAACCCTGTAGTCTAGACGCAACCCTACAGGCAATAACACCTTCTGTCGACAGAACTCTGTCGACAGAAGGTGTTATGCCTCGTAAAATGAGGTTTACCAGCGTCAACAAAACTGCTGAGTTCTGTCGACGTTATGTCGACAGAACTCAGCGGTAGTGTAGACGCAGGTATAGTTTTGTTGACAAAACTCGGTAGTCTAGACACACCCATAATCCGCAAAGATTAAGTAAAAGTCCTGGTAACTTTACAAATCTAGATGGAAGAACCATAAGTAGCCCAGGTAAAAAGGAAAATTCAGCATTATATAGTTTAAAATTAATACTTTACTTTTCTCCTTTTTGTTCCTGTCATGTCTGTAAATACAATGGCTAATTGGTTGCCCCTGTGCTACCATATCACATCATTCACGCTACCGTGATGTCACAACTAACATTGTCCTCTGAGACATGGAGTCATCCCAAAGGAGTAAAGGAACTATAGTAGAGCCTCAGAGTTACAAACACCAAAATTACAAACAGATCAGTTAACCAAACAACTCATTTGGAACCAGGAAGCAGCAGAGACACAAACATCAAACCAAAACAAAAATCAAATATAGTATAGTACTGTGTTAAAAGTAAACTGCTTAAAAATAAAAACAGCATTTTTCTTCCTAATAGTAAAGTTTCAAAAGGTGCATTAAGTCCATGTTTAGTTGGAAACTTATAGACACTTACTTTTAAATCATATAAACACTATAACAGCGAAGAAGCAATATTGCAATTTACAAGAGGTTATGTTAATTTAAATGTTCTATGCAGGCCATTCATTCAGATTGGTAAAAAGATAGAAATAAATGAAAACTCACCTCACAATTTGCTCCGATACAGGCTTGTGAAATTTAGGTGGTAAATCAAGCTTTGGTTTTACTGTAAAACACTGAATATCTGAATTGACATGTTAAGAATTGACAAGAGACAGAGTTTAAACTATGCAGCAGAGATGGTTCAACTGAGAAATGTCTTGAAGAATTTTCCATCAAAATTGGCATAAAGACAGTAATATATCAATAAAAACATAAAAAGTTCAGTGAACTTCTGTGCAATCTTAACAACAATAACAAATTGTCAGTCTGATTAGATTACATGAGCATATGCATATAGTAATTTCCAAGGATACACTGACCAGTGGAGTTTTTAATATCATCGCCTGGTGGAGATGTTGTCTTCATTTTTTCGGCATTTGGAAACTGGGTTAATAACCTTGCTTCAAAGTCTTCACGACGTTCATATTCCTTTCCTCGGTAAATGAACACTTTGTTCTGGAAACAAATTAAGCAGTGAAGTTCATATAGTAATATTCACAGTCAGTTCACTATAAAATAATATCCCAGTCCTCTGAAAGAGTATCTGCACGCTTTTTCAAATGCTGCTAGTAATGGTAGAAATATAAAACAGCCGATTTACAACAGAATGACATACAACAATTTACAGGTATTATGGTCAAAAATCAGCAAAGCACTGAGGCACTAATTAATCCTTTAAGCTTAAATAATCCACATTCTGTAAAGCCATTAGGCACATATTGAACTTCAAGCACAGGCTTAAATCCTACTGAAGTTAATGGGACTTTAGTATGTAGTTAAATAAGGACCAATGGCAAATAATTAAGGCCTCGATTCAAAAAAAATTGAGCATCTCTTAACTTTAAGTGCACAAGCAACCTTTCTGAATAGCTGAAAAAAATATTAGCCCAATTTATCCTCTTCATTGCACCCACAAATTGTCCTCTGAAGTTAATGGTGTTTGCATGGTGTATCAGAACAGATTTTAGCTATTATGGCTAAACATTTACAAAACCAATTCTGATGAAATGAGTATTCAAGCAGGATTAGAGGTTCCTACTACATCTAACAGGGCAGTTCCATAGAGACTGTAGTTATAAAATGACATCTCTTTGTATCATGTCTCAACTCTAGTGCACAGCACTTTGTATACATCCAAAGACAATATATCTAATTGAACTTTTCTAAAAAGAGTGAGAAGTGAATTTCATTTTAGTTTTCTCAAACATGTTTCCTTTCATATTTTACAGTTACCTGAAAAGAACAGATTCTATATTACTATTTTAATGCTACATCATTTCTATTTATTGCTTTGTGTCATTGACAGTGACACAAATTAAGATAAATTTAATTTTATCTGAGTTATGCATTTAACAAATCTTAATTCTAAAGATAAGTATATTCTATAATAGGAAGCACATAAATGTAGAGTGCTAAAGTGATTGTGACACATTAAAATTAATGTTTATATGAACGTACAATCCAATATGAATTTTTATCTTATTATTCATTTCAGAAGTAAAACTTGTTAAAAAATATAAACAACTTATTATAAAAATAATGATTTATGGAGTATAATGCTAATAATTTCTGTAATAGTCAATTAAGTTTGGTTCTGCAGTGCTGCTGCTTGAAACTGACAACAGCTGAAAAATATCTGTATTTGAGAATATTAATATGAAGATAGATACATTAAAAGTGAATCATTCATATAACTAAAGCAAAAACTGAAAGACAAGGGATATCTTGTCCTGAGAATCTTCTCTATCAGCAACACATTTAATAGACAAACATTATAGTTATATATATAAAAACTGACAAACTGACCCTTGACAAACAGTTTTTGAAGCATAATAAATATGCTGCACTATTCATTAGTGAAGAAAAAGAAGAAAAAGATCAGTCCAATATTAGTAAACCTGTTTAACTCTCTATTATTACTTTCCATTATATCCCTTTGCATACACAGATAACATGGCTTCAGGGGGTAGCCAAGTTAGTCTGTACAGGATAACCTTAAAAAGCAACAAATGGTCTGGTAGCACTTTATAGACTAACAAAACCGGTCCATCTGAAGAAGTGGGTGGTGCCCACGAAAGCTCATGATACCATCTACATGTTTTGTTAGTCTATAAAGTGCTACCACACCTTTTGTTATTTTTTAAGTTTACAGATAACATAGTGCTTCAACTGAAAAATTGTGCATACTATCTGCACATTTCCTGAATGCAAATTTATTAATGGCTCAGATGCTGGAACATGTGAATATATAGTGAAAGTTATGTTATCTGGTACTTTGTTAACTGGAAAACTTAGTTAACTGGCATTGTGACACTGCTGGCTGACGTCATCAACAAAAGCCATCTTCCCCCTCAGCCTTCCTCAAAATGCCTAACCCTTTTCTGGAGTGTCAGATATCAGGACTTTCACTGTACAGGCAGTCCCCGACTTACGCGGATCCGACTTATGTCGGATCTGCAGTTACGAACGGGGCTCGTCCCGGAGGACACGGACTGCGGGACCTCGCGGTCCTGCCGCCTGTGTACTCCGGGGCTTTCTCCGCGTCTCCCTGGTCTTTGCAAAGCCTCGGGGAAGCCAAAACCTGAGGAGGGGCTCGGGAAGAGAGGCAGCCCAGG